GATGGAAGTCAAACGTTACTGTATGAAAACGCGTGCTTTTTGCATGTATGATTAGAGTTATGTGCCAGCTATTTTCAAGACTACGAGAGTTTCAGCATTGTTGCAACCTGTGCTCCCCCAGTCTATCCAACTTCGACTCGAGTACATATAGCTGTCTTTCAGTTTTCTCTCTATTTAGAGGCCCAGACGTGAACTTATTCCTACAAAAGTTTTGTTTTGTATACTTGCCTCATAAAAGGGAACCAGGAGACACCCCCCCCCCTTTCCCCAGTGTCCCTTATGACTGATTTGCCGTTGATCCCGATTTTTTTCACCAGATCCTGATTTTTTTACTAAAAAATCCTGATTTTTAGATTTCATAGAGTGGCAGGTCTGTATGACCTAATTGTTTTGCAAGTGCGGTATAACTTAACATTACTCTTTGGGGGCACTAAACAACAGTCACTGTGTCCATGTGCTTCTTTTTACTCAAACTCAACAGACCTGTTCCTGTGACATCACACACACTGTACAAAGTAACCATTTGACCCTTTAGTTAAGGTGCAATATATCGTTTAATTACTTTAATAATAATCAATTTTAAGAACAAGTATAAAATACATATGTCGCAGAACAGTTACAAGTTACATTACATGCACATAAACTATAATACAGTGCAATTTCAACAGCTGTTGTGTGCCATTGGGCAAATAATTATAATTAATATTCTGCATCAAAATATTTCTCTTAAAAACGCAAACTTTACATAGAAGTAGATCTAAATCTAAGCCATGCAGAACAAAACATTCGCCTTTTCAAGAACGCTAAGCCAAGAAAGCCAACCATGCCCGGCTACTACTACTTGTTTTACCCAGGGGTGAAAGCTGACTCAGTTGACAGGGTAAGCAAAGTGAGACAAAGAACCTAGTGATCGAGAAGAGGCCACAAGTTAAAAACTTTCCAACAGTAGAAACATAATAAAACTTCTTATTCAATCCAATTCCAGACAGCACCAATGAAACGGGAATGAAAACAAATGATGAATTTATAGATTTAGTACCGGTATTATGTTCTACCGCCAAAGTCATCAAGAAAATATCTCATTACATAATTTATTCCTACAAAACATAATTATTACTTAACCCTATCCATACGTCGTGTTTTACTATCGTATCCATACGACGTGGGGAACTCTGTGCCACCACTTTCCTGAGAGGAAATTTACTGGTTAATCCGATCCGTACGCTTTGCATAGCAGTCTGTCAAAATGATTTTTTGAGAAATACTGAAAGTTTCAAAGAGATCTTCGCGTTAGAAATATTCCAAAATGTGAAGAATACAAACCCAGGGGAACAAAATACCCCAGGGCATACGGATAGGGTTAAACATGAGGTGGGATTAATGATGATCTCAAGATTTTTAACAGTAAATTAGCAGAGATGAAAATACTACAGAAGTCTCCGCCTAAACGCACGGTGCTCAGGAGGGCTCCTTAGTGTGTGTTTATACGGAGCATGCATTTACATAAACCCTTGCAAGGGGACGAAGGGACGCAGTCATCTCAATTCCTATTTCTCTAGTGACCTCCCTTGGAGGGAGGGGGTCAGTTTGGCAGATAATGTGACGACACGTGACTGTTTTGTGAAGGATTCCCTGACAGGGGTTAAGAATAAAAAGGCGTTGAATGGGGGGGGGGGGGGGGGAGAAAGACAAACTCAATGTAATGACTGAATGCACTGTAAATGTTGGGCACAGATAGCCTACGAGGAAACTGTTGGTCATAGTCATAGAGACGACGGACCAGCCACGACCGTAAATTCATGCAGAATCATCCCCGAGAAACATTTTCTCATGTGATTCGTTGAACAAGTACTTTATTAGTTCTTCGAGTGCAGCTGATTAGGCTTACTTGGCTAATCTTTCTAGTGTTTTACGGCATTCGCGTGTCACGCATCAGGCCTAGATTTAACTAAACATTACACGCAGTCACTCAAACACCAGTCAGAGGCGGTAAGCAGGGCTGGTGGCATAACGGAGGACGGTATAACGAAGTTTGACTGTACTTATGCTCCATTATTTATGTTTACTTATACCTTGAGCGCCATTTTTAAACTTTTCTCTCAACCTTTTCCGCGACTTCTTCAAATTTTCCCTTTCTTCCTCCACCCTGACACAGGAGTTCGCACCAGGCCTGTCATCACCACTGCCTGTTGAGGAGATGTGAGCACAATGAGAGGCCGCACCCTCCCTAGAATTCTGTCCCGTCTCAGTTGAACCATCAGTCTGTGGATTCTGTTGAGTTTTTTCTTCTCTCTGGACCTTGTCGCAAACCAAGAGCTGGCGGTGGCCACCTGTCTCCATAGTAACATCATCATCTGTCTCTTGAGGAATGTTAGCCGTTTCCATAGCAACAACATCCTGTTGATCCGAGGGGGTCTTGCAGAAAGAGAGAGCTGCCAGCTTGTGTCTCACATCAGCTGCTGCTGCGTCGACATCAGCCAAAACTGCCTCTGCGGCATAGTGCATTTTCACACGACATGATGACAATGATGATGTCGACTGGCTGGTTTCAGCACAAGGCACCAGTTTGACATCCCCAGGGAGTAGAGAGTACAGGAACTTGACACAAAGAATCGTCAGATGGTCCGACCTGGGGAGTAGAGAGTGGAGTAATGGTTAGGTCCTTCACCTCTGCATACAAAAGACCCAGTTTGATTCCTGAATGTGGAAGAAATTTTTTCAAGTTCAGACAAAATTGTCCTAGTGCCTAAGAAAAAAGTCATTGTCTTAGACAGGTGGTGTATTGGACAGTGTCATTATTATTTGGCAAAAAACGCTAGGGGGAAGTGGAAAGTGGTTCGATAATTGTCTTGAACAGGTGGCCATTAGAATTAGAACAGGTTCGACTATATCCATCTATCTGCAGGGATGGGTTATCCCACTCAGCTCAGGTTCACCTTGACAGACGCAATAGATAGGCCTACCTCCTAAACAATCTAAAGAGAGTTGGCAGGGACTTAAACATTTGCTACCATGAAAGTCTTGCCTGCTCAATACTGTGCAAGTTGGTAAACTTGGCAAACATGAGGGCCATACCACACATATCCTCACAAACGTAACACAATAGCATGAGTCATTTTTTTTCATTTTGAGAAAAACTGTTTAAAACTGCTCACTTACGTCAACTTTATGACTTAAGCAAAAGTGAAAAAAATGTCTCCGTAATAGATTGAATTTTCAGTACTCAAAACACTACCGTGCTATACTGAGGATACAAAACAAATAAATAACACATTTTTAACATAGCAGTAACTAGAAACCTGAAAAAAAAATTGCTCAAGCAATACCGAGAAGTGTTATGACCATGACAATTTGCTTGACTGTCATGTGGAATGACCTTCCTGGGACACATGAGGACATGCCTGACATACACAAGGTCCTATCGGATATAAACGAGGACCTACCTGGCATACACGAGGATCGTGCCGCGACATTTGCTTGTCTGTGGAAGAACTCGGATCCGACAAAACCTGAGAGACGTCACTCCAGTGAACACATACTGGTCAGCCCAGACGATGTAACTTAAAGATGGGTGAGCCTGGACTTGATTGACCAGACACCGTACCGAAGTGACCACACTCTGGACACTCAGCACTGTGCATGTCTGGAGACAGTCAAGGGCCTGTAGGTCCTGAAGGGAGATTTGTCCTGAAAGTGAAAGAGGAAACATCACAAAATAGAACAAGTTTAATTGAGTGTGTGTGTGTACCCATGTAAGTGTTTGTGTGCAAGTATTTTGAGTCATCGAGTGTATGAGTGTGTGTGTGTGTGTGTGTGTGTGTGTGTGCGTATGTGTGTGTGTGTGTCTGTGTGTGAGCTTGTGTCTATGCATGAGAGGACGTACTCATACAAATGGGTACACGTACACACACATATGTACACGAATAGATGGTGGGTGGTTGGTGGGTGCACTAGCGTGGTTTGCTCCTTCTTTCTTATAAAAATCTATCTTCCTTAGCTCTCCTTCTTTTTATGTTTGCTACTCTCTTATAACACCTCTAATCTTAGGCACTCATATGACCTAACTATGTTGCAAGTGCCGAAAAACTCTTACTAAACTTTAAAAAACATGCACACAAACACATATGCACCACGGCTGCTCATCCACCAGTATATATATTTTAGCAATTAAAAAATAGAAAATTAGCAATTAGTTTAAAAATTCGAAAAATGACCATGGATAGTTTTTTTCTCTGGAGTGTCAAGAACCTGGGTAGTAGGTTCAAGGATGAATGTAATGTAAACAAAGGTTTGATGAAAAAAGCAGTCCGGTCTTGGTGGGCTTCTCGTCGAGTTACGAAAAAAAGGAGAGGGCGTGGGGGAATGGGGGTAGTTACTAATGGTCAGCTTGACTCTTGCAAAAACCTAAGAAACTGTAGGGACATGTCACAAGCCTTTGATCCTGATGGTTCATCACCACACACCATGCCACGCACCACAACTGACTATTTCAAACAATGGTCCACTTTCTAAAAAAAATTATCTCGTTGGCTTTGAGACCATCATCAACAACCCAAACTGCACAAATTTTTTAATTCATTTTAAAACTAATGCTTGCCCTACACCTGACTGGCACAACTTATGTTTTTGCAAGGGCAAAGTGGCACTGAGCATCTACAACATACAAGGGCTCTTTGCACAGACAGTGTTAAAATTAGACAGCTGCACATGACATAGTGATGTGGACTGCTGGGTCTGACTGTTTTTCTCCTTAGGCAACGGGAGGGTGGATATAGGTTGGGGTAGCCAAAGGACAAATAAATTTTCAAAACTCAGAATCAGGGGTGTTACTATCTTTTTGTAATGATGGGACATATATAGAGAGAGCATTGCAGCCTGTTACAAACATACAGCTACCATCTCTACACAATTGTTTACCAATTACTCTAAGTAAAGCATTACTTTGTTGTCACATTCACTGAGAAACTAAAAAAGTTTCAAAACAGGAAAATGGAAAAGAAAATTTAACTTTCACCTTCTAGAGTAAATATAATGCAGATGATTTCTTTAGCACCCACTCTCATTGTACTGCTCTAGGTGTTCTAAAATACCTTCATCTTAACGCAAAATACATGTGCATGAACGGGCATATATGCTCTTCACATTGATGCTAACACGAAAGCAGGCATTCACATTGTTACAGTACAGCACAATTATACTATCACAGCGAAACCTATTTAATGATATGCACATCACATTAAGAACATAAGAGTATTACGACCTGAAGAACTAACTATTAAACGCAAGCATATCATGAAGAAATCATTAAAAGTCTGTTGCAACTACGTGTTTCTGGGCACACAAACCCTGAAAAAGAATGAGTGAGCCTGGTCAGGTCATACAAGGATGCGTTGACATCAATCAATATGCACACACCTGACTCTGCGGCATCATCAGACGCACTTCCTGCGAGAGAGAAACTTCCTGTGAGGACAGTTTCTTCCATCAGGTCAGAGGTCATGACGACCACCTCCCCACAGTACTGCTCACGACGCAGAGGCACAGGAAGTGAAGTCGTGTCGCTCATGATGAGAGCTCCTCCACGCGGTAGATTTTCTGTCGTCATCTTTGGGTCCTCAATGTACGAGGCGAACACAAGGAGTCTGACCTCAGCCTCTCTGCCAATTGCTATATGGGAAACCTCTGAGCTGCAAGTTACAGTGGCCAAGCAGGACGGTGCTGAAAGGAAGGAGGATGGGGACAAAATACAATTGGGACTACTTCGAGTAAGTTGTTTTGCGAGTTCTTTTTTTTCTTCTATGTATGCCTATTTTTAACAGCAGGTGGTAGGTAAAAACTTGAGCAAGGTCTTCTCTTTCTCTTTCTTTACGATGCAATTGTTCTGCTGTAGGCTGACAAAATGCTTTTTTTAATTCATAGCAGTTTCGAGATAAAGAGGGTTTTATCAGCATAACCATTTAAAAATAGCACTATTCCGCAATTCAAATCCTAATTTATTTTAAAACTAGTCACCGCTTCACTTTGACTTTTTTCACACAAGTAGAGTAACTGATCAGACTTCCGATTTAGCAAATTAATAAAAAAAAATTTGGTGCCAAAAATGAAAAAAGGCCTTTTGTCAGCTAACGGAAGAGTTGTTTTTAACTCTGTACAGGAAGAAATGTGTAGTATCTGTGGTATAACCGTATTCCTCATGTCCATTGCACAAAGCATGAGTTCAATACCGGATTGGAGAAGTTATTATCTCGAGTATCCCTATCTGGCTGCTGCGACTCTGAGTCCAATTTAGACTAGGTGGCCAGAACAGGCATGGTTCAAGAAGCCAGCCTCCTAAAAGATCTAAACTAGAGTTTTTTATCCTTTTTATAGCCAGCGCCCATTTTCCCTACATTCAAGAGGTTAGAATTCATGCTGCCATTACCTGGGTGATCCCCAACACTCACCAAAATTTCCAAATCATCTACCAGTGAGAAATACCACCCACGTAGTCAAAATTGATCTAAACTGTGTTAATAGGGGAGTAAAACTTCACGTCAAGAAAAACAACAACTTCGACTTCGGTAAACCCATTGACAAAACAGACCTATCACACTGGGGGAATCCAGAACTCTGTCATGGCAATGAACTCTTCCAGACGTGAGGCAGACTTTTTTCCTGGCAGGAGATCCTTGCTGATGCAGTGATGGGTCAGACTCCAGGGTCAGGCCTGATGGGTCTGAGGACGTGTGCAGCCAGCCTCCTCCACGAGAGCAGACAGACTCAAACAATATCGGCCGACTTTGGGAGGTGCATGTAATGCTTAGAGAAATATTACTGAGGGATCTGGGAAGAAGAAAAAAACTAAATAGTTTGCAAATATTGCAAAACATTGCTCATTGTGTGATGATAAAAAGAAATAAAATTCCCCTTTCATTGATTTCTTGAAAAAATTGGTTTAAAATGGCAGACATACCATACACATAAAAAATAAATACATAATATAAATGCATACAAAAATTCATCAATGATACATAATGCACAGTATCACGCAAATACCAAAAACAAACAAGCCATTGCTGATCGGCACAAGGCAGAAAACTTTTTTGGTTTACAGTCATGGCATCTCACTCAAGAACACATCCTAGTGACCACTGAGCTAAATAACATGCCACTGACATGAGCTTGACATTACTGTGAGTCGCAAAACGAAAGGCAGCAAATTCCATTCACTTTTCTACTTAGATTTGCAAGTCGTTCAAATTTATGGGTAAGGAGGGGAATGCGGAAAGTGACACTGTCGAAGACCTGGGATCCGAACATGTTACGAGTCAGACAGATCTAGACAGCGAGTCCATGGACACAGAGGCTGATGAGACTGCTGTCCTGGCTAATGAGCTTAGCTGAAAATCAGTGATAATATAGTATTTTGTTGAGCAGTTCAATATCTGTGCACATTGGTGCCATTGTATAGGCCTAGTGTATTTTCCCCATGGTGCGTCTAGCGAGAGACACCCTGTATTATATCTGCACATTTCAAAATAAAGATAACCTAAAAAATTTTCAAAAACTAAATGTTTCCATTAAATTAGGGATGGTTGGCAGTTTCACAAAGTCTTGTCTCACGTTTTCTTTCCCACTAATTTCAGTGTGCAGCAGGTGGTGAAAGTGGCTTTGTTTTGCAGGACAATGTCTCTGCCTACTGAAAGTGTGTTGTGTGGCATATATTGATAAAGGTGGGCTAATGTAAGTGAAAAAAAAAGGAAAGGCAGAGAGTCAACTGGGAGCTATGACGAAAAACCCAAAATTTGTTTGTGTTAACCAGACTTGCTGGAATTTTTTATCCTGTTAAGGGGAGTTGCAATACATAGAATAAAGAGGAGGAGGAGGGAAGAAAACAAGGATTTGAACTGCTTTTGTGTTCACAAAAATTTTGTTTTAAATAGATTCGTGTTAAAACAGAATCGTCTTAAAGTAGTAAACGTACATCTATTTGAAATAATCATTATTCACAGGTTCGAATCCCAGTCTGGGCCCAACATTGGGCCCTCAGATCAGGATAATAATTGAAAATGGCACGCCTCATGCCACTATGCACTGAGTGGGTTATCAAGATTAACCACTCTTTGCTCACAATATGTCATAAACCCACACAGGGGGGCAAGTCAGTTCATTTTAAAGAGGAGGGAGACCATTTTACCAATTATGAGCCATAACACGGGTCACCGTAGATTCTTCCCTGGGTTCGTCAGCTAAGATCCCGGTTTGCTTAAGATCCCACATTTTCCCTGCCCCCGAGCACCGGGATCTTAGGCGGAGATGACTGACTGTCAGCTGAAGTAGTAATATATCGTATAGTGCTTAGAACTTTCTTTCTAGCACATATATGTGGCTATGTAAATGCAACCTACAAATAAAAACATAATGAATGTTGTCCCTTTAGACATATATTTCTATAGCCTACATAACAATAAATCTCAAGCTTTGAAACAGTCATGTCTTTATTTGACTAATACAATACTGTAAGGAAAAGGCAATTTTAAACTATTGAACTACAAAAACAACTTGAAGGAAATAAAACAGGTAGCTACTGAAAAGAGTCACTGTTCATGTCAGCATTGAAGTACATAGAGCTTACAAGATTGTAGTACAAATATATATATGCCCTATATATAAATGCATTACATTATATTATTATTACTTTCTTCTTCTTCTTCCTCGTTCTCGATGACAGCAGCTAGACAGTCAGTCTGACTTCAACTCTAAGAGACTGCCAAAGAGCTTTCTCTCAAGGGGAGCCACATTCTGCCACGTCTGTGCGCGAAGGGTGACGTAGCGCGGGCAGTGCTGAAGGATATGGTTGGCATCCTCTTGGTCGTGTCCACATTCACAGATCACTGTCTCTCCTACTTTTAATTTGGTGTGCATATGGTGTTTGAGTCTGTTGTGGCCACAACAGAGTCTAAAGATTGTGACCTGGTCTGCTCTATTTAGTATGTAGTAGGGGTTTATTATTACTAAAAGACAATAAAACAGTTACACTACCTTGCTGAATTGTTCTTCACGTCGACACCCACCACAAGATGGGATTCCAATATTTTTTTCCATATCTTCAACACAACGAGAGGGGATGAAGGGGGTAACTCTTGCGTGTGACCTGATCGACCTTCAGATTGGATCATTGCTGGGAGACTTCCATCGACAACAGAAATCAGTGGTGGCTGTTGCAAGAGATTTATCACAAGTACATTAGTTTCCTTTCCTAAGCATGTTAGCCTTGCATTGAAAAATCTTTGCTTGCAAGGTAACAAATTTGGGAAAAAAGTAAAACTGAAAAGAATTATTTTTTTTTGAGTAAGTGTTTTACGCCGTTCGCAACTGCATAAGGTCATATGAGCGCGCGGGACACGCCTAATACTTTTAGTTGGTAGGAAATTTAGAACTTTGCCTGGGTGGCGGCCGAAGCCTACAGAAATTACATGAAGGTAGGCAAAAAGTTCCTATTATAAATTATTGATCTTAAAACGGAACAGTTCAAAATACATTTCTCAGTTCCAAAATATTTTTAAAACAGGGTAGAATTTATGTTAATTTTTTAAAGTTTCAATTTATGCAATTTTCTTAATCTCCTTTGAGTTTGCTTCAACACAAATTTTGTGTCAGTGTACTGAGTGGGTGCACCCACTGTTTCCGTTAGCTCCAGTTGGTATTATGCTGGGCTAGGGTGTGGATGACCCTGTTCTGATCCAAAATTACCATCTATAACATTATTTTGGATAAGTGTTTCAAGACTCTTCACCCACTTGGCTCCATCCTGTCTGAGACAGAGACATTAACTTTGTAGGTCGTACCTGTATATATATCAATCCGACAGTGTGGAAAAGGCATTGAATTGAATCTGTAGACAAATACCAACTAATCAAGTATGAAGAATTAAACAGTAATTTTTAACTTAATTTGCCAGTCCATGTTACAATATAACAACAGAAATTGTTGTCAAGTTTGAATATGGAAATTTAATAAGATATTGTAAAAAAGCAGAAAGGTATTCAGAGCCTCTTGTTTATTTTCAACAGATTATTGAAAGCAATAAAAGATTTTAAAGTTATGACAAGACTCAAAATAGAAAAAAAAACTAGATCAATAGTAATATATTTTTATTCACCATCTTTGAATACCACAGTCCAGAGCTAGACATGGATTCTGCCATGTGACGTCTTGACATCTGCGCCCATGTCTCGGCGATAAAATGTCGTTTACACTGAATAGCAGACTCTGCCTCCTGGACAGCTGATTGACACATCTAGAAGAGAAAAGAGAGAATGGCGCAAGACAACAATTGAGAAGATAGTCGCAGTGCTAGCCAGTACTCATGTGGAACAATACTGATTTAGAAATTATATCCCCCATCCCCCCCCCCAAAAAAAACAAGAGCAAACAACACGGAAATTTACAAGAAAGAAAATGGCCTTGCTTCCAATGTACACATTACTAACTACTTTACTACATCATGCTATCAAAAACAAAAAGTTGCAGTCTTCTCTTAATTCATTATAGACATATACTCACATAAAGTTTGAATTTTATTCCAAAATTCCAGGAAGACACAGTACAGATGGCAAATTTACCTTACATTGAGCCAGCAGGGCATTGAGAGCACACTCCGGCCCTCTAGACCCACCGTCCTCCTCGCCTCCCACAACATCATCTTCCTGAAGTCGTTCCTCACTCGTCTTCCGATCTGATCTGACACCTATGCCAACTAAGTCTTCTACGTCACAGACATGGTACCGGACACCACTGAGCGCTGCTGATGAATCGTCAAAATTGCTCTCCCCTTGATGAATCACTATCAACTTTGGGCAGCCATTCTTCGTACACGTCCATTGCAAGACTTTAGCGACGGACAACCAGCACTTTATGATCTAAGCAAAAAAAAAGCAAAGTCATCGACTGTTAAAGTTTCACCCGAAAGTATTTGTGAGGCAGCGTGGTGAAATCAGGCGCTCGTCAAATTAATGAAATCCGAGAAATCGACATTTTTCGGCCTGTCTGACAATTTTTTTTACATTTTTTTTTTTGGCACAACACTTTGTATGTCCATTCAAAATCACTTTTATGCGGTATTTTATAGAAAAACGATTAAATGCACAAAAAAAACTAATTTGCAGTTTCCAAGAAATCTTAAATTAAAACCTGTGGAAGTCACCAAACTTGGGCTGCAATTTTCTCGATAATTTTACTTCTGAAACCGGGCCTACCCCAATTCCTTCCATTGTAAACATCTCGACTTCCATTCAAGATAATAAATGGATATTTTTTTCATTAAAAGCAAGGCAAATGAACAACCTTTAAGACGATACCAATAACTCCATATATATATGCCAAAAAATTGAGGAGTGCCTGATTCCACTGCGTCGTGACACATTTTGTCCACACTTGATTATAATAAATAGGCCTACACAAAAGAATTGGAATCTTTCAAAATTCATTTAACTTAAAAATTTTCAGTTGAGAGATTGTTTTCAAAACCAAAAGCCACTACTGGTGTAGATATTGTGGGCAAAGCCAACTTACATATATACAGTAAATTGTGTAAAACCTCCTTAGAATGTACTCCACTTGAATTTTAACAACATTTTAGCCAAGGTACACTATATACAAAATGTTTGTGTTCGCCAAGGAGAGTAAATATATATTTAATGGGACTTACAGTTGGAGCTTCAAAAAGTGAACCTCACTAAAGGCGATATTATAATATGGTCGCTTTTAAGGACAAGCGGGCTAACACAGATTTCAGGGGTTTCCATAAATCTTGACCTACACCAAAAGTGGACATTGTCCTAACTAAAGGAGAAGTTTGATTTCATTGGTGTGTTTATAATGGTTTGATTTGTAGAGAAAACTCTCCTTGTCTTTTAGTGAAACTGAACCAGGGGCAAAAACTTTACCTTTGGTATTCTCAAAACAGCCTTTTCAGGAGAGCCTCCTTGAGCTTGAAAGCGACCATCATGTACGTTATACAGAGTCTAGGTTTCTACGGTATTATATTTGAATCAAAACCACTTTTTTCTTTAAAGTGCAAAAGTCACAAAACAACAAGATAAAGATCTTAGAAAGTTACAACACTTCATTATAACACAAACACAGGAGAGAAACACTAGAAAACTTACATCTTTTTTTAGCTTCTCAAATTGAATTGTCTTTATTTTCTGTCAAACAGCTTCTTTTTAAGCTAACATCTTACCACTCAACAGCACAATTTACTTAACAATGTTCCCTCTGTTTTGAATTTTGAGCACTTCATCATCACATTTCAAATCATTTATCTTATTATCCGAATAAAATTTTTAATTTTGATCATAAATTTTTTTTAAACACAAGTTTGATCTCACTGTTTTAACATTGTGAGGCAGCGTGGTGAAATCAGGCGCTCGTCAAAATAAAGTAACTAAATCGGAAAAACAGGCATTTTTCCACCACTTAGGAAAGTTTTTTTGAACTTTTATTTTTTGGCTTTTAAACCTCTGTTGTAACGTCCATAAAAACACATATTTCCTTGTCAATTTTACTGAAAAACATAGATTAAAGGCACAAAATATGTCATTTTTTCAGTTCTCAAAGACTCCTCAGATTTGGAGGTCCCAAACTTTGGCGGCCATTTTCTCGCTAATTTCACCACTGAAACCAGGCGACCTCATTCCTTCAATCGCAAATATCTTGACTTCTCTTCGAGATAAAAGGTTATTTCATTGGAAGCAAGGCAAAGAAATCAGTTTTCACATACATGATACAATAACTCCAAATGCAGTACCCAAAAATTGACGAGTGCCTTTTTCCACCGCGTCATGACACATTTCACATATCCACTAATGATTACTAATTGATTGTTTCATCAGGATCATGTGTGTCCACCGAAATGCCCACTGGTGGTGAAAGACCATAACTCGTGGAGAAAAAATAGGCCTAGAAAGAAAACAAAATGCTACATTTGTCACATTTGTGCGGTTATTGGTTACTATGGCAACCAGAGGTTAAACTTTTCAAATATTTTTATATTGCTCATTTTCTTTACAAATAAATGCCAGCTTACTTTGCTGTTGGTGCATTTTCTGTATAATCAAAGTTCGGTAGATAAGCTGAAAGAAAACCATAAAAAAAGAACATATAATTATATACATTATATTATAATGACCTTTTCCTTTGACCAGTCAATGAGAAAGCATTCAGCATGAAATAAAACAGCTGTTCTTGGAGTTGGCTCATTAAAATGCAAAATATCCACTGGCGCATCCCCATGACTGGGTAGAGTCCAGGCCTCATCAGTAGAGTCTGCACTGGACAAACTGACACACCCTTGCATCACTCCGTCCACAAAGTAGAGAGAAAACCCTGTTTTGGTGATCATAACCACAGAAGAAGACACTGAATCACAACCTTCACAAGGACTCTGTGAAAACGATATAATTTTCACTTGTTGCAAAATGTCAGATAAATCTGTGGGAAAAAGTTTGGACACGGAAATTGGTGTCATGTCATACTGCAGCTCGGCATAATTTGACGAATCTGCTTTGAGCGTAGTTTCTTGGAGAGAGAAGTAATATGCTGAGCACTCCTTTTGACTCCCCAGAAGAACCACAAAGGCACTTTCAGAGGGAATAGCTAATGTACTTAAAATTTTTAGGTCACGAGGATCATTGTCATTTTGTTCATTAACTCTTAAATAAAAACTCTGAGAGGACACGGGCAGAGTTGAGTCACTTTGTACAAACAAGTGTATGCTGTTGTTGTTAACATCAGTTATGCCTAGAGTAAAATTGTTAATGACAAAAGTTCTAGATGATCTACTACTACTTGAGCTAAGATTTCTGTGTAGAATTCCATGTTCTCCAGAAAGCAAATATTTCCTGACCTCCGTCAGATAAAACTGTTTGTCTGCATCTGACTGTGCCTCTCCCGGGAAGCGATGATCTAGGTCTTCTAGTAGTTCCTGTTTTGAAACTTTTAAGACAGCAACAGCTTGTGAAGATGAATGAACTCTTTTCTGCTTTGCTGTTGCCTTACTTTTGTTACAGCATCTAACTGAGCACACGGGAACATTTTGAAAACAACTGGGGTCAAAAGACATTTCCATCGAAAGTGGGTGGACTTCACAGTGCTCCCCAAACTCAAAGAACGTTATATTATGAGAAGATAAAGCTGTCTCATTATCATCATCACAAGGTTCGTCCTTAGAAATACTGGAATAACGAGAAGAATTTGAAAGATGTCCTTTGGTCGGTTTTCCTTTAGCATCATCATCATCTTGACCACCGTCGCCATCGTCATTAATGTCACAGTTAGTCTCACCGGTGCCTGGATGCTTTTCTTCTTTCCCATCATCGCCATCGCCGGCCTGCATCGGTATGCATTCACTGATCGACTTCCATTGAAGATATACTCTGCTGCCATTCACAGACAAACTGAATATGAAGTTATCCCATGCAAACACAAAAGCATCCTCCATTAGGCCTAGATTTAGTACCGATTAGTAACAAGGAGTGGGAAGATTCGAAAGACCGTAAATACATGATACAAAGCATGCATTGCAGTGTGTATTATTGTTGACGCTGCACTTCAAAACTTCCAATTTCCAATTTTCAACTTTCACTTTCGATTTCAGCAGACAGCAGATTCCCGCCGTTTCATTGTTGTAACGAAACAAAAAATTATATTTTACGACATAATCACACGAGTCTTATCAAATATTCGCCCCAGCTTCAGATAAATTAAAATTTGAATCATAAAATAGCTCGTAGCCAGAATTTATATCTTGATATGTCTGTTTAAGTTTTCTGTGAAGAAAGAAAAAAATAGCTAAACTGAATTGATCCTGAAATTTACTGGTATTACATGTTTTAATTTATACAAGTTCTTGAATTTCCTGTTCTTCTGGGAAAAGAGAACGAAAAATCTTCAAACTCAGTTTTGGTTTGGCGACGACGCGCTGTCGTTTTCTGTTGAAGTTATTTTTGGGTTTTTTCAGCTCATGGTCTGTTTGAATCGAACTCTTTTTTCGGAATACGCAGATTTCGGCATGGCGAGTTTCCCCAGACCGTTGACTGCCGGGGGCAGCCGTCGACCGTAAGTTATTATGTTTTAGAGTTGTGATAAAGAGCAGGCTACCTTTCTTGGCGATTTTGTAGTTTCGTTCGTTAAAGTCAAGAGTAGGGGGTTTCAGGGGGGCTTGCCCCCCTGACCTAATAAAAATATGGAGGTGGGGGGGTTATCCTAATTATCCTAATTTGATGTTTTGCAGTTAGGTTGCATTCCTGCTCTTTGTGTAGCCTAATTCAAATAGAGAATCTAGATCTAGTATTTGGCCTTCAAGACTTCTGGATTTCTTCTCTGGATGTAAACTTGTAAACAGATGGATCGTGGACTTAAACGAACGGAACTACAAGATCACCCCTTTCTTTAGACTGTCTAAGTTTCTTCGGCTTCGCCACTTTCGGAGTGAGAATAACCATGTCCCTTGTCTCGCTATTCTCACAGAGAATAAAAATAACCCATGTCTCGCTATTCTCACCCCAGGTAAGAAAAACTCATGACTCACTATTCACACCTGCTGGATTGTACCTTACCAGACCACCCATCTTGGCCGGAGAAGGACCCAAGCCCATATGATGCGGAGCTCCGATGATGCTGCTACTTATTGAGCATTGTTTATTGCTCCTGGGGGAAAGGGGGGGGGGGTAATCTTCTGCCGTCTATTCGGCTTTTTCCGCACGCTTTATTGTCTTTGCGTTTACTGTGACTGTTTCAATTTCAAGCATCACCACCTGAATTCCGAATTGTTACAGTGGAACTCGGATTTAACGAGGTCGCCGGGCCTGACCTAAAATCTCATTAAATTTGAGTGTTCTTTATAGCAAACATGAGGTTTTGTGTACATAATTACGGGCATTAAAAGCAAGTAATGTATAATATTAATAATAAAGAGAAGTCACAAGTACAAGTAGTTCCTGAAATGCTTGCATATCGTGAGCTGTGTAAAACAAAAGACCGATTAGTTCAAATACACAAGCCTGAGTCATCTCGATTGTTTACCAAAATGTTTCCTGTGTAGAGCCTAGCATACGGCAACCTTTGATTCCATAGACTAGCGCACAATTCATTTCGTACATCTATGTCAAGACTAGCTTATGATCAGTTGCCGAGGGGAAAAAAAAAACTGACGCGTTTGTATCTGCGACGTTCCACGCCCGGACCGCTAGTGCCATCCCCCCCCCCACTCCCCGACACGCATACACCGTCACACGTGTGCAGACCTCCCATCTGACCCCGACACACGCCAAGGCATGTGTTGGTATGAAAAAAGGCCGCTGATTGGTTGCGGGCAATCGGCTAAGTGAATAATGGTTCACGATGCAGGTGCAATGGCGCCAATGGATGGTTTCCGGGAATAGATAAAGTTCATTCTGGGAGAAAAATGAGCGAAGCCACGTCTACAGGGACTGTTCACCCTGGAAGCGACCTCGTTGAATCCGAGCTCGCTAACTTAAGTGCTTGTTGAATCCGGGTTACTTTTATTGATTTTAAAGAAGAAAAGAAAAACGGGGAATCTATCTCTTCTCGTTGAATCCGAGTTCCACTGTATTAACATACCGGAAACCTTGATTGTAACCCATCAGTAGAGCATGGATGACGGTCTGCAGTTAGTCGAAGTGTGAAATTTTGTGCGAAACTCATCGATACGGATTCATAAATAATACTTCAAGCCACTGACCCAACATGTCGTTCCATGCGGTATCTCCAAAGATTCTCTTCTACACGATCTGCAGTATCTCCAAGGACTTCTAAAAATAGTCTGTGAGTATCCCACAGATGACATCACTTTTCTAAAATTAGCCGCCAATCAGGCAGATGGGTTTTCTACGTTTAGGCACATGTTACGAATGTATAGCCTCATGGACGATGGTTATGGTTATATGCTTGCCACCCTCCCGTACGCATCCTCGTGGCTATACATACGGCCCTCTAAAGTATAGATTTGCCTAATTTTAAGTTACACTCTCGGCTTTGGCTTGGTAGTCACTCAGCTGGATCACGTCACTTCATCGATCGATATCTTGGCCAAGACAAAGATCGTGTATTTATATATATAACAAGATAGTTCACTCCTCTATTTGAGCCAATTAATGAAGTGTTCTCAAAATTTGGTAACGCCCTCTTCTAAAAAGTGCAGACTTGGCTATCAGAGCTACCCTACTTGTGTGAAAAATAATAAAAGTGAAACTAACAAACTGTGCTATTCCTATTCTTTTTTTCTGGAGAAACGAAAGAGAGCTTCAAAACAAAGACTGAGGCATCATCTGAACCAGTGCGTAGGACTTCTGCTGACACTTTTTGGCTGAGTGAACTATCTTGTTATGTACGATCTTGGGCCAAGAGACACTCTGCAAGTCAAGATAACTTGCAAAGTCATTGATCACTATATAACTTTGACCTGTAATTTACTATGTCATTTTCTATATATATATAAGGAATATACTAAAATTTTCCATTGAAATATTAAAAGGTCAGCGTCTATAGGGCCTGCGCGCTTCCCAATCGAAGTAGGTCAGCCCTACATAGGGCCTGCGCGCTTCTCGGGTGGCCTCAGCTCACACCCTTTGTATAGACGGCCTGCGCGCTTCCGGGGTTAAGTTTGTCCACTTGAAGTGCCCGGTTTGATAGTTTATGTACCGCCTACAAAGCCTAGCTTATTATTATTATGTGAAGTGGAGGGCCGTACGCATAGCCTCAATGCTATGCGTACGGGAGGGCCGTACAAGGGTTGAAAGTTTTCCGGCTACTTGCACTCAACTGTTGGCCTCCCTCCGGCTACACCGGCTGGGCAAGTCTTCCATAGCTAGCGACGTAACAGTCATTTTTATTTCGGCGGCGTGCAACAAATTTCCGGGGTTTTTTTTTAAAACATATCTGTCGACGGCTGACACCAGTACTTTCAATTAGTGCTGGGTACTATTCATTTTTTTCTGGAATAAATAGGTACCTAGTGTTCAAAACATTCGAATGCCAAAAAAAATGAGTCAGAAACTAGATACCTAGTAAAAACAGACTGACTAGCCAGATCCCGGGGCCCCCAGGAATTTTAGGAAATTTGTAAATTGGCTTTTCCCGGTCTGACAGTACGTTTTACGCGAACATGCGGGTATGCCGGCAGGTAGTCTGCAGTACAGGGGGGTAGGGAGGACACCCCACACCACCGAAACACTTCCCCCCCCCCCCCCCCCCCTCCAGATTAAAAAAAATTTGAAACCGATCACGTTTCTAAGAGCAGGTGAAAAGTTACTAATTTCACACGCAGTTAGGCCTTTATTGAGAATACAATGGATTATATTCTCCCCTGGGTGTTGAGAACAGGTAGGACTAGCCTAAATACATGTAATTATAGAATTTTGTGAAATAAGAGAGTGTAGTGGTTACAAGATACCCTAAGATACCCTAAACCACTTGGCGGCGAGGCGGACGAAATCGACCGCTCAATACCTCAGTTAGATTGAGTCGTCGAAGCCCTCAATCGCAAAACCTGAATGGCAAAATTTTCAACCAAAATTACAGCAAAATGAGCAATTTAGTGGATTATTCTGCTGAAATCGGCAAGAAGGAAATTTCAGATGAAGATGTCTCTATGTGATTTCTGTTGATCTTTTGAACTGGTGTAAGCTGTGCACAAGGCTTTGATGCTCTGTTAGGGATTGTATTGAAAGGCAGAAAAAGGTTTGGGACTGCTTTGGGGCGAAAAAAAAAATTTCAAGAATTTTTTTGTGAGTCTACATCTAATATTATAATTCTATACACAGATGATCAGTGGTGAATCCCAGCATCCCATAATTTCTGCGATAGACTCTCAAAACTAAATGAAAAGGGGGCAAACAAACAAAACAGGTGAGAATAATGTGTGGAGTATTCTCTTCTCTCACCAATAAGAATATGTGTAGGCCTAAAGCTGAATAAAACTGTGAAGAATGATGAGCATGAGATGGGTCCATGAGTAAAATAATACCTAAAATCTTGTAATCATCAAGAAATTGAGAAATTGCTCAGTTCATGGAGAAATTGATAGAAGATTAACTTGTCAACCAAGACCAAGGCAAGGATAAAAGCAAAGGAGGGGGTGAAATCTAGCACAGGCAGGTTGTGTTGTGATACAATTGTCAGTTTGTTGGGTTTTTTCAGGATTTCATTCACTGAGGCCTAGTGTGATTCATTTCAAATGGAAGAACCACCACAGTCAAAAAATTTTTAATTGACACCTGATAATAATTAAGATTCCCACGTTTATGATTATACCTATGATTGAACCAGGTATAAATCATTAAATGACATTCCTGGACAGCCATAACTGTTTTTTAGTTTTAGTAGAGGTTTTACGGTGCTCATAATTGCATAAGGTCATATGAGCGCCAGAAGATTAGAGGTGTTACAAGAGAGTAACAATTTTACATAAAAAAGAAGAAGGGGAGATAAGGACAATAGATGTTTGATAGGAAAGAAGAAGCAAACCACACCAGAGCACACGCCAACCACCCACAACTGTAACTATTTACATTCTACAGTTAGGCTAGTGTTGAAAGAGATGTTAAACCTATAGCGCATTTTATAAATGACTGCACTTCTCTTTACTCAAAACTATATTTTTGGCTAATCAATGTGTAATTCATTCTGTTTTCCCCGTTTCAGAGTTGTGTCCCAGGAAGACTACAGGTGTCAGAAATGTCTCCAGAAGGGTCACTTCACCTATCAGTGTGAAGGAAAGAGGAAGTATGTGGAACGTGACTCAAGGACCCGTCAGATGCTGCGCAGCATGAAGCAGAAGGAGGAAGCGGCAAAACTGGACATGATGTAAGCTGTTAGTTTTGCTGTACTTATATATGATTATGACGACCTCCTGTACTAACTGCCGCTTTTTCCATTTCCCACGCTTCAGTTTGGTTGGGTTTTTTTCAATATAATTACTGTGTAAAATGGTCACTTGTCCAACGTGGCAGCAACCACCATATATATGTTATCAAGCAACAACCATTTAGCAAACCTGTCTTGAGATGGCCACGCAAATCTCTCTTAACCCAACGCCTTGTCATAAATATTATGTATTGGCCCCTGGCGCTGTGGACCAGCCATCACAATCCATTCACCTGTCTTTATTGTTAGTCCCTCCAATGAATGAACCGAGCACTGTTTACTCGAGTCGACCAATCAGTAACAATAAATTTTCAGCTGCGCAGCTGGTGATCCGTCTTAAATAAGCCCCAGCCACAACTCATACACAGATCGCAAGGGGTCACTGTTAACCCACTCTGTACATAACAATGAAAGTCAACATGAACTCGCAACAGAAGCATCGCACGTTCTCCTAATGTGTTTGCTGTTTTACCATGGCCCTTTGTCTTCCCCATCTGACACTGACACATTTCATTTTAATTTACCCTTGCACAAAACACTTTCTTACCTTCTTGTTTCTATTCATTCCAACAAAAATTAAAACTTGTTTGTTTGTTCAGCTTTCCATGTCTTTTCGTTCCAGGCGGAAGAGTGCATCGTCTTCAGAAGACAGGAAAAAGGACAAGAAAAAGAAGAAAAAGAAGAAGAGCAAGGATAAAAGGTGAGCAATGGATCAGAGAGGTAGTATTCTTTCCCTCCCTTCCTCCCTCCCTCCCTCCCTCCCTCCCTCTCCCTCTCTCTCTCCCTCCCTCCCTCCCTCCCTCCCTCCCTCCCTCCCTCTCTCTCTCTCTCTCTCTCTCTCTCTCTCTCTCTCTCTCTCTCTCTCTCTCTCTCTCTCTCTCTCTCTCTCCGCCCCTCATAGGCACAGATGAAATTTTCCTCACTGGTTGGTGAGGTCTGCCTCTTCTATTTCTTTTGAAAGTTCTTCTTGTATTGACTGAGGGTAGTTGGAAGGCACCACCCACTGCTAGACCCTTCATTTAATTCAGTGCTTGCCAACGTGGACTTGGTAATTTTAGTTGATTGTGGGGGTCACTCGAGACAGTGACAGGTATTCAGACTTATGTAGGTTTGACAAAAAGTTATGTTAGCCTCTCAAAGGTGGCGAAGATGGGCGCTGGCTCAAAAATGGTTAACAAGCACTTATTTAAATTCTTTTCTTTCCCATTGTAATTTCTGTCTGCCTGTCTAGCTTTGTCTATACACTAAACGGCTGTTATTGTGTTGATACGCTTCTGTTTACTCATACTGAACTCAAACTCTGTCCGTTGGTGGTTGGCAAGTGCTCTGGTGTGAGTTGCTCCTTCTTTCCTATCAAAACATCTATCGTCTTTATTCCCCCCCCCCCTTTTTTTTGTGTTTGTTACTCCCTTGTACAACCTCTAATCTTTCAATGTCTTTGGCACTTATATGACCTTATTGTGTTTCATGTGCCGTAAAATTCTTACAAAACAAACTCTGTCCCTACCAGCATATTTGGTGTTGTAGTTAAGCCCTACACCATTTCAGGCGTGAGGCTGGAGCTGAATTCTTGCTCTAGGAAATCACTTTATATCAAGTATCTCCGTCTGTCTGCTTACATGTTGCATCCTATTCAGCCTTGGTATGTAGGGTCAGAGCAGCCTTCCCCACTTGATTTTAATTTCGTCGAGAGAGGTATAAAACATCTGAGTCCTAAAGTATGGTCACAGAACTTTAATTTACTTTAATGAAAAGTGCTGTTGCAGAGGAATGGCAAGACTGAAACTCTTTAATTATTTTTTTCGCCCCACAATCTCAAATGATCACACAAGTGGTCGCTTTTAAGCACAAGGGGGCTATCTCGAAAAATGCTGTTTTGAGAAAATCGAAGGTAAAGTTTTTGAACCCTTGTTCAGTTTCTTTAAAAGATGAAACCAAATTTCTATAGGTAGGACAATGCCCACTTTTGGTGTAGATCAGGATTTCTGGAAACCCCGGAAATCTGGGTTAGCCCCTTTGTCCTTAAAAGCGACCAAATGAACTTGTGAGTCTTCAAACTTTAGCCTTTGGTTTTCTGGCTGTTGTCATTTTGTGAACTCGCTCATTTCCTCAGTAGACTCCTCATTTACTGTCTTTACAAGTCTGGTAGCCATTGTCATGTTGTCTCGTTACAAGCAACAAATGAGCTACTATGGCATTTTCAGAAAAAGACAATTTTGGATCTCTCATTCTTTAAAGTGGGGGGGGGGGGGTGTTTGTGCTAAACATCTTGGTGATCCAAATGTGTCCTCGTGTGGATAGGCGAACAGGGTCTTGGATGTTGTCTTTCTGTTGACAATATTTATAATGATTGCAGTTATAGTACATATCCATGTTCTACATTATGCTCTATGCACTTTTGTCTTTGCTATTGTTGCAATTTCAATCTGTGTGGGGGCTCTTATAGGCTAAAGGTCACAGTATTCGCATCTCATTCAATAGGTCCAGCGTTCAAAACCTGACAGCCACAGAAATTTTTCATCTCTAAATTTCACTCCTTTCACCTTAAAAAATGCCCTTCTCTTTAACCATGTTCTGTCGTCTGCTTTTGTCTCCACTTTCTGAGTTAGATGTTTCAGATGAACCCCGCCCCTTTGCCCCCTCCTCTTTCTGCAGCCTTTCTATTGCTACTCCTTGGTTCCTTCTACTTATCTTGTGTGTCACTCATTCAAGCAGGTTGTTGGAGAGCACTACTGATGGATTCAGCATTTTTTTCTTTCTGTCTGTCTTTCTTTCTTGTTCCAGTAAATGGCCATTATTGTGTTGTGGTGCCTCTCTCTGCTCATGAAACAAATGAAACAAACTAAATTTCATTATTGTGGTGGTGTGTATCTTCTATCTCTAGCAGACAGACAAAGTTACATCAATTTCTTAGACAGATGTACCTCTTGGGTTGTGTCATTATTGTATATTATTATATAATATGTAAATAAAGCGGGGTGGGGGGTGTAGTAGTTGTTTGTACAAGTGATTCTCTTTGTAGGTGGCTGTTACAGCAGGTTTGACTGTAGTGTAGTTTTGTTAAGTATCCCTCTGGCTGCTGGGATGCTGTATCGTATCGCACCCAGCCTAAGCTGGTTTTTACAGACAGGGTCAAAGCAACCTGCCCCCTGAATGATCTAAATTGTGTCGATCTGGGCTTGAAGTCCTGGTACTTACAACTACACAACGGAGACATTTTCAATTTTTCATGTTATTAATGAAGAGCATTAGTTCTTTGGATAACTTTTGAACTATTTGTGGGTATATCTATCTGGTTTCTGCACTTAAAATATATCTTTTTAGCACTGGAGAAATCTGTGAAAATGCCCCGAGTAATGCTGGTAGTAAAGATTGTAATAGATTGCATCTGTGTAGCACATATCCCTCCTTGAAAAATTAACTAAGTTGTGTCACTTGGGGGGGTGGAGTGTGTAAAACATCTACACTTACTTATTACCTAGTAGAAAGTAGACTGTAACTTCCTAAACACACAACTATCTATTTTACACCAACAGAAGGTATAACAATTTGAACACGTGGGTAGTTGGCGGGTGCTCTGGTGTGGTTTGCTTCCTCTTTCCTATCTTTTGTCTATCGATCGTCCTTATCTCCCTTTCTTCTTTTTTATGTTTGTTACTCTCTTGTAACACCTCTAATCTCCTGACGCTCATATGGCCTTATGCAGTTGCGAGCGCCATAAAACCTCTACTAAAACAAACAAAAAACATTTGAAAACGTTCTCAGCTTCTAGGAATCATTCATAACTTGAACGTTATGTAACTGACTTTAGTGTAGTGCTCATTTTTATCAGGACAAAGTCAGGAAAGTTTTCTGAAAAGTTGCCTTTGCACATCAGGCCCAAAATGGGATTTGAACCCACATTGCAGTTGCAGATCTAGCACCTGACCGGCTGACAACCAGCACCACATACATGTACAATGAAGAAGAGGGGTATGTCTTAAGTTTTGATTTGAAGTCCATAGACCTAGATGTCCTAGACCTAGAACACTGTGTCAGTGGGAGTGGTTTGAGGGTGCCACTGGTAATAATGATAATACTAATAGATAGCATTTGTATTGTTCAAATTCCCGCTTGACAGCAAGCTGTACATGCTTTACAGGCTATATCATTACCCCAGCAGATCTGATAGGTGGGTGGTTGACGGATGTAAGTCCAATGGGATGTCTTTTGGAGTGATTTCCCAAGCTGCAGGCTCATTTGTTTGTGCTAGCCCTTTATGTTAATTAACTCACTTGAGCCTATTTCCGTGTATTTAGGGGACGGCCCGGCGGTCTAATCCCATGTATTTACGGGTATGCGCTTTATTGATCGATATCTCCAGTGTTGTTCTGTTACAAGCTGCGGGAAGCAGTGAGCCAACAATAGGTCCACTTGTTTCATTTCGTTAAAAATTTGAAGTTTTGTGTGACACTTTTGAGCTGCTGCGGACTAAGTCAGACACCCCGCTTTGCGGTAAATGATTTTATTCAAAATTGGACACCCAAAAAAAATGCATATTCCCCAGACATTGCCATTTCAAAATATTGATTGATCAAATAAAAACTACTCTGACAAATTAGGTGCTGTTTTCTTTTTATGCGAGAGCATTTCTGTCTTTCTCTTTCTGCATTTTTTAATTATGATAGCTTTCAATCTTTTTGTGGTTAACGCTTCAATATTCCTCAAAAGTGTCAGGCTGCAATAGTTCTTGGGTGAAATATAGCTCAGGCTCAAGTGAGTTGATGCCTTTTGTCTGTCCCTTCCTCTGTCTGTCTGTCAGGAACTCTTATACTGCTTGTCTGTCTGTATCTCTAATGTTGTGTGTCTCTATCTGTAACTCTAATGCCATTTGTTTGTGCTTCCCACAGGGATAGCTCTACTGACTCATCTGACTCGGACACCTCCTCTTCCTCCTCAAACACATCATCTGCGCCTTCTCTAACAGAGTACTTCACTCTTGAATCGGAGTTTATTTCCCGTGGGCCAAGGCTCCCTCAGGGCCTCCCATCATATGTGAGTGAGCTTTCTCTCTCTCTCTCTCTGCATGCATATATATATTCCTTCTCCAAACCCCGATTGGACAAAAACGCCATGCCCATTTTTACCTCGTATTTATCTTCTGCTAGAGATGCTGGACATGTGGTTAGAGTTAAAGGTAGTGTTGGGCTTTAGTCGATATCGATATCGGGTACTCATCGATACTGGTTTTCTTAGTCGATACTCGATATCGCAGAGTCCCTTAGTCGATACTGATCAGTGTTATGATTGTAGTGTTTGCCGCCTAATCTGCGTGATATCAGAGAGAAACGTGCTGTCTACAATCACCCGTCTTTATTTCTAAATAGGCTTAGTCATGTTGAGAAAGAAGAAAAGCACTGTTTGGACGCATTTTGAAGAGCTTCCAGGAAACAAAGAGGCCAGGTGCCTTGTTTGTCACGAAATATTAAAGCATCATGGGATCAGCACTAATCTCATGAAACTTCTCAATGCCAAACATCCTAGCGAAAATGCTGCACTTGACAAGAAGAAAGGCGGTAGCAGCAGCGATAGTTGCAGCGCAGGACCTGCAAAGCAGATGAAGCTATCAGATTGCACCCGTTCAGAGCCCTAACCGCCTTCACACTCCAAGAAAAAACTTCTCGATGACAAGGTAGTCAAGATGATTTGCATTAAAAAACAAACAATGAACAATACAGGCAGTAGGGCCTGGTAAGCCGAATGACTGACGCCGTGACCTTTGACCTTTCATCTATTAAAGTGCTTCACGGAAACAATACGGTGAGCGCTATTTTTAGCCTTTGGCGACGTCACAGTATCGATATCGAGTATCGATCGATACTGGGAAAGCGGGTACCCAATACTACCCGATACTAGCTAATATCGATTAACGCCCAACACTAGTTAAAGGGTTTGGGGACTTCAGTGGTTGGTCCTACTACTTCTTTTCTCTTCTCCTTTTTCCCAGGTCTACGCATGTGGGTCTAAAAGATGGATGACTAACAGAATCTAAAAGCTTATTAGTGAAAGTCACTGCAAACTAAGGTTCTGACACATTTTCATTGATATAAGTATAAGCCTAAAGTGGGTCAAAAAGTAATAGGGGATGTATCAGCATACACCTAAAACATAAAAAAGTTGACATATTTTTTATCAACACCCCACTTTATTTAACGCACAGCTATAAAACACAATCCAATCCAACAAAAGAGATGCACATGGTGACACCTGGGGTGGGGGGGGTAGCCTACATACTTACTTTGAAACGTGGGCGCAGGGGGGTGTCCCAAATTGAGCAATTTGTAGGCTAGGCTACTGTAAATCATTTATTGCAGTGATCTTGTAATCCTACAGGGTGGCATTTATTATAGGACCCAAACAGAAACTTTTGTAGATTTTTTAAAAGATATTTTTGTTTGGTTGCTGGCCTACCGGAAAGCCATCCAAAGTTTCATTGGTGGGTGGTTGGCGGGTTCTCTTGTGTGGTTTGCCTCTTCTTTCCTATAAAACATCTATCGTCCTTATCTCCCCTCCTTCTCTTTTATGTTTATTACTCTCTTGTAACACCTCTAATCTTCTGGCGTTCATATGACCTTATGCAATTTCGAGCGCCGTAAAAACCTACTAAAAAAAAGTTTCATTGGCTTTTGCTAATCAATAAAAATGTGCTCGAATTTTTTTTAACTCGGGCAGACAAAGTGTACAAGATATTATGTTGGTTTTGTTTGTCTATTGCTCTATCCAATGCAGCAGACTGTTGTAGCAGCTAGACTATTTGCTGTCACACTCAGGTGTGAATTTGATTCCCATCTAGGAAGAATTTTTATAGAGTGTGTCTGTCTATCTGCAGTTATGTTGTATCCCTTTCAACCCTATTTAGCCCCGGCGGGCAGGATCTAATCATGCTGCCTCCTAAATATTTTAAATTGTATTAATTGGAGAGCATGAAACCTCTTCTTTTACATTTTCACTATTACGAATATCATTTGTTTGTACTAGCAGGTAGAGATCGTCTGAAACATCTGACTTAGATGCCTCCGTCTCCTCCTCATCATCATCATCATCATTATCTTCGCTCTCAGTTTCTGTGACGGTGTGACAGAGTTTCCCGCTCTATCCGTAGTTTACTTTCCTTGCCGGCAGGCTGCCAATAGCCCCTCACACCCGCCGGGGTTTCTCGCAAGTGAGGCAGGTGTTTGGAGGGTGCCACTAGTAGGTCCTACTTCTTTTCTTTCTTTCCTTCTGTTGTTTCTGTCTATCCGAGAAGATATGTGGAAGTACTACAGCACTACTTCTTTTCAGTCATTCTCTTAAAATAGAGTGTGTAGTTGGCTATGGTATGGTTTGCTCCTTCTTTCCTATCAAACTACTATCGTCTTTATCTCTCCTCTTTCTTTTTTGTGCCAGTTAAGCTCTTGTAACACTTCTAATCTTTGGCACTTATATGACTTAATTGTGCTGCAAGTGCAGTAAAACTCTTACTAAAACTAAATTTTTAAAAGTTTGGTCACAGATAATATAGGAGGCAGGCTGCTTCCATTTTTCAAAATGTCTATCTGGGCCAACTGGGGCAGAGTAGGATACAGTGTCCAAGCAGACAGACGGAGGTGCGCGATTTTTAAGAAGTCTTCCCTCAACTCGGGAATCGAACTTCTTCTTGCAAGTGAAGGCAAAGAGCCCAACAATTCTACCACATACTCCTGTTACTGTTAGTAGAGATGACTGGTTCCAAGGGACTGGACTGACAAGCCCCTCGTTCAAATTCTGCTGCACCTCCTACAGGGGTGTCAACTACCCCTTTGCAATGTTAATTTAGTAAGCCACAATCTTTCCCTTATAGGGGTGGCATCTGCTTTTTGTCTTCTCCGTAATAGGGATGGCGTCTGCTCCTTGTAGTCTCTCTCTCTCTCTCTCTCTGTGTAAAAATCAAGACTTTGTTTAGGAAACACAGGCGCCCCACCACTTCTGTCATCGGTCAAAGGCCTGCTTTTGATATGACCTATTTGTGGGCATAGAACTGGATGAGCCACTGGTGGGTCCTACTACTTTTGCCAGAAATAAACAACAGTAACATGGAGTTGATAAAATTTGTCGACGATTCAACCGTAATTGGGCTCATTCAGGATGACCATTACGATACTGCTGACCGGAATTTAATACTAAACTTTTCTGAGTGATGTGATACTCATAAGTTGCCTTTAAATTTTATGTGCAAAAAAACAAAGAACTCGTTGACTTTAGAAAAAGAAATGGCGCCGTAGGCCACCGGACTCGTAATCATGAGGTTGCGGGTTCGGGGGTTCGAGCTGCGGGCCCGACGTTGTATCCTTGAGAAAGGCACTTAACACGAATTTTCCCCACTTCACCCAGTAGGTGAAAATGGGTACCCAGCTATAGACAGTGAAATTTCTTGCTGGTTTGTTAGTGTTTGAGCGCTTAACCAGCTGCTTGCACTGTATGCTTCCCGAGAAGCTGAGAATGTTTCAGTGTTCTATGGGGTAATAATATAGTGTAAATCGCATGGGGCTTGCTTTCAAGTGGGGACATGCGCTATACAAATGCTATTTATTATTAAGCGCATAGAGCTTGCTTTCGAGTAGGGATATGCGCTATACAATTATGCTATTTATTATTATTGTTGTCTTGTAAACGGTCTAAATGTTGTTGATTAGGGTATAAAACACTTACTTTCAGTTACCTACTTAGTTTCCAACTGAAATAAAAACTGTCACCTTTTCTTTGTTTTCTTTGAATAGTTTTGACTTGGTCACCAATTGTTTAATGCAGATCTATAATGTTAGATCCAGTCAGAATCTCATGTGGGGAGATTTGTTATTGGGTATTTACATCTTTCTTTCTTGGACGTTGAATATCTCCCAGCCTCGGTTTCCTTTACAGGCAGGGTCAAATCAACCAGACTCCTTTAAACTACAGTGTCAATGGGGTTGTAAACACCTCAATTGTTTTCTTTTTTTTTGTTAAATGTACCAACATGAATCATGAATGTTATGTTTATGTGTGTCTCCAGAGCCAAATCGTCGAAGGATTCAGCAGACTCTTCCCAAAGTGAGTCTTCGTCGGATTCATCCTCGTCCGACTCCTCTTCCTCCTCCAGCAGCTCGGAGGATTCGGATTCATCATCGTCGTCATCATCTTCATCGTCATCTTCAAGTGATTCATCATCGTCCTCAGATTCCTCATCAGACTCAGAGCAGGAACCAAAGAAGAAGAAAAGCAGGAGAAAATAGTTTTGTTGTGGTTGTTGATGTTGCCCCCCTTTGTTTAGTGCTATATAAAATGTGTGTGTCTGTGAGTGGGATGCTTGTTTGGTTGGATATAGATTGTACTTTTTGGATTGTTCGAAATATGGTCAAGTGTAACGTGTGCACAGACCCTTTGTGGTGTTCTTATTCTTGAGGATGGGGTTGGATGAGAGCGATGACTGAATGATATTTCTCATTGACTGTTTAAAGCAATTGTGTCATCTTGGTTTTGCGTGCAGGAAAACTGTTATTTGTATATTTCGTAGGGGGGGGG